GTTAACTGAATGCTCTCTTAGGGTAAATGATAGGTAAAAATCTGCACAGGGTATTATATCAAAGTGCTCCTTAAACCCATTCTAACTGTGGCAAAAATGAGCTATGCACAACAGCTCTATTAACTCAGAAATAAGGGACATCCTACAATAGCTAACAAAGCAAGCATAAACAGCTCTGCCATGTAACATACTTCCCAATACCCATCCTACAAAAGGATGAATGCCCTGAATTTCCAGGTTGAAAGGGGGCAGGAGGGGATGGACAGAGTCCCATCACATGTAGTCATGGCAAAGGACCACTCTTACACAAGGGCTTTCACTGGGAAAAGCTGTACACGTACTCATGGGTGACACTGTCGTGGTTTACACTATTAAATCAAATGCTTTAGCAGATCACAGGAACCCAGAATAAGACAAGAGGGAAAACCAACTCTCTTTACAAGCTGAGTTTCATGGCTCCCGAGACTGGCCAGAAGGATGCAATGAGCAGCACCAGTTAGTTTTCGTTTCTGAGAAGGCATGTAGGCTAAACAAGCACTGAATTACATGGGCTAAAATGTTCTATAGGAGAAATCTGCATTTCACTGACAATCATTACATGATTTTAAAGACTCTGACATGATGGTTCACCGCAAATACACAGACAGACATCCTCAGGCTGTCTTCTTCAGATCGCTGTATTTTGGTTACACTTCAGCCTATGTGAAATTCAAGCAATACGCCCAATTCACTTCACCCACATACATGTCTTTCCTTTAATGAACTGGTGCTCTGTGTCACTGTGAGCCTCCTCTGTCACATCACAATCACTTCAATGTGAAAGCAGTAGCTCTAGGACTGAATGCCTGACAAAGAGGTCCTTAAAATACTTTCCACTTTTGTTCAAGACAACTAAAGAACACAAGGAATTCATGAACCCTGCAAACCTCAAGCGTGGCGTAGATGGTGGTTCATAGAAAGGAAAATAAGCCAAACTAAAAGCCATCCCAAACTACCAAAGGGCATGATTCATTTTGCATTACGTAAGACAGCAGTGCCATAACACTGTTTAAGTCATCTTGCAGCAGCATGACACTGGTGCAAGAAGGGATGAATCAAATCCTGTGTTTTCATTTTAGGTGGATGCTCAAGCATCGAACAGCGGGAAGAGCTACAGCTTCCAATAGCTCCTGACAGGATCCCTCCAAATAAACCAGTGAGGGTGTGTTGGGCTTGGGAGGTGCAGCTGCACAAACTGCCATCCATTTTGGCAGGAAACTGGCTACATTCAAACACCAAACATTTCAAACGTGGTGTTATTCTGTGATATGAAGACATGTGAGAGGAGGCACACGCTGCTCAGTGCAGGGTGAGGCTGTGGGGAGGATCGAGGTCGCTTCCCTTCCCTGAATCCAGGCCTTCTAACATGCTTCTATAACAAATGCAGACAATTATGTATTTATTTTAACATCGTATCTCTGTTTTTTCTTAGCTGAGTTGATGCCTTATCCCCAAGGAGCTTTTATCATTACATTAAAGATCTTATTTTTGCTCTAACTGACAGATGCTGCAAACTATCTATAAACTCTGGCAGCCAAATACAGATATCTGTTCTCTGCAGATTTATTACACATCCCTGATCCCCTCATGGAGCAAATTCATCTCATCCTGGATTGGAAGCAAACCACACTGGAGGCTAATTTTGAGGTCAGATGCCTGAGTTCCTATTGTGGCAGACTGCGAGGAAGGAAGAGGCAAGGCCAAAGCTAGAGCTCAACAGGTGAGTAAACTGGCTCTGCAGATATGATCCTTCACTATGAGGGTGCTGAGGCGCTGGCACAGGGTGCCCAGAGAATCTGTGGCTGCCCCATCCCTGGCAGCGTTCAAGGGCAGGTTGGACACAGGGGCTTGGAGCAAGCTGCTCTAGTGGAAGGTGTCCCTGCCCGTGGCAGGGGTTGGAGCTGGAGGAGCTTTGAGGTCCCTTCCAACACAGACCAGTCTGGGGTTCTATGATATTCTCTGCAACAACTCTGAAGGACTGTGGTCAGGATGTATTTTCTAGGTGTGAAGGACACTCAGAATCCACTAATTCCATTTTGTTGCTGCGCAGCCTAAACCTAAAAAATACACCATAAGTGGCAAAACACAGGAATTCACAACAGTCGCTAAAATGAAATGGAACTGTGATTTCATCTTGCAGTTCAGTGCAAGATCCATGGAAATGGGACACCTGGTGTGTTACCCCTAATGTGCTTTCCTATGTGAGTGTGGGAAAGCACTTAGCTGAGCCTCCATTTATCCTCCAATAAGCCAGATGTCTTATTTACCTATTTACCAGTGGGGTAATTGCCATGGACTTTAATGGCCTCCTTATCAGGTGCGGTGTTTTCAGGCTAAAAGGCTCTATCAGGTGCAAGGCACAGACAGTAGCACGGGGTGAGGAGCAGGGCTGGCATATCAGTAGGGTGTTTCTCAAACCATTTACCAAATGAATCCATAACCTTTGGCAATGCAATCTGAAGGAAGTGGCTCTGCACAGACACAAGCATGACTGAAGCGCTGGAGTGACAATAAAACCCAAAGCAAGTGATCATGACATGGACCACAATGTTCTCTCTCCCTATTACATTGCATCATCAATGCTAATTTAATTTCTGTCTGGAAATGGTATAACTATCTGTTATAGTTATCTACACTCTAAGTACATTTCTATTTTTCCCTATATCCTCGTGTCAGGAATTTGTCAGCATTTTGTGGCACTTTTGCTCCTGATTAATCCCATGTTACCATCTGTCTGCTCCTGACAAATCCCATTTGGGAACACATCCTGCAAGGGCTTGGAAACCCTCAGGATGTGTAGATGGATGTCATTTCCTTGAGCTGATCTGCTCCCCAGACTCCCTGATGGCATCCCTTGAGCAGGTGAGTGTTCAGATGGCATAAATCAGCTGAGCTCTCTTGGGACTCATTTACATCAACCAAGAATCCAGCCCAAAATATAGAGCTATTTCCTACACATCAGACTGACAGGCTGTATCCCTTGCTGAAAGGATCATTATCAGCAAAAGAAGTGCTGGAAACACTTGAAAAATGGTGCTGGAACTGCAATTCTGGCAACCTTTTTTGTATAGCAAGTGAAGGAGGGGAAGACGAGATGCTCTTCACCAGCCTTTGTCCATGCCCTGCGCACACTGACAGAGACATAAGCAAGGTTTTGCCTGCCAAGCCTGTTTCTTACAATTATTTTAAAGGACAAAATAACCAAACCAGAAGACTCCAGATGATAAACCAAAGATTATTGACAACTTGTGTGGAAACTGCCTTTGGCAAAGTAGATCAGCATTAAATGCACACCCGTCTTTCTGAAGGGTATTTAGAAATAGAAATCTTGGACGCAGCAACATGGCAAAAGTCTGTCTAGGGTTGTGCCATGCCCAACAGAGCCAAGAAGAATGAAAGAATAATAGTAAGAAAATACAGCTGCTTAATGAAGGAACAAAAATGGCCACTGTTACTAAGGGAAAACAGAAGGATGCTACCAGTTTATTTTGCCATGGTATAAACTATTAAATCCACAGGTACTGAAGGATTCAAGGAGGGCACACTGCATTGTAACAGATGAGACCATGTGAAGAACTATCCCTAATCCATGCAGACACCAAAAATTACAACCAAAGTGAATCTCTGAGCAATTCCTAAGATGACTAAACACTCATAAAGCAAAACAAGATCTAATCTAAAGAAGAGTTATATTCTGCCTCTCCTCCTCACATTGAAGGATAGTAGAAATGATACTTCATGGCAGGGGGGTTGGAACTTGATGATCTTAAGGTCCTTTCCAACCCTAACTACTCTATGATTCTGATTCTCTCTGTGGTCCCTTTGACTTCAGGATCAGGAACGCAGCTGAGGATGCTAATGGAAACGAGACCGCAAGGTGCAAAGGGACATTCGCAGTGCAAATGTAAATGACACTGTGCAGCCATAGGACCATGACTACATGGGATTAAGGGGAGCTGGCATGATCCGGCTGTGTGGCTACAGCCCTGCAAACAGATCTGTGGATTAACCGCCCTAAGTAAATAGCCAGAGTAAAAAGAAAAGCAGAGTTTGATGCTGTTCACGGAAATCCTGTCCTGCAGCACACCCAGCTCTGATTTGCTTTTGCTCTGGCAGTTATAAGAGGAAAAATATGCAAAGCTTCCCCTTGGATTGCAAAACAAATGAGAGATTTCAATAAGTTTACTTAATTGCTATCAGTATTAAAGGCACCTTAAGGGAATCAGTCATAGAAGAGCATAATTTGTAGTAGATAATAAATTACATTTTCCTTTATTTACCACCCTGGGAAAAATCTGTTCAAGAGTTTATAATTAAAACTCCTGAACGCTGTTCAACTAAAGGTTTTTAATTGGAAAATAGTCTATTTTTTAAAACATCCTTTTCCTTTTTCCCTTAAAAATACTGTTTGTTCTCTTGAGAAAAGCCACCGAAAATTATTCACTGCTATTCTTCATCAGAACTGCTAATCAAACCTTTCTTTACTCATCGAACCACTTGAAGCCGTAAGATTTTCACATCTAATTCCATTTCTGAGTCAAACAACAAAAAAATTACTTTAATCCCTTATATTAACCGTAATAAAGATTATATTGGAAGGTATGGAAGCATTCAGGCATGTCGGGGATTCATCAAGTTGTCCCTTTCCCTCTGTACCCTGCACTGATTAGCTCCATTGGTCGCAGTGACCATGAGAAAGCATCTTTTCTGCCTGGGTTTTTTGTTGTGGGGCTTCTTATTCATTCCCCACTTTGGGATCATTAGTTTACATCAAATGGGTGAAGTCTGATTTTGTGCATCCGTATGGATTCATAGAAAACAAGACTATCACCAGTATACTGAATTTGCAGTTAAATCTTATGTCTATAGGTTATAAGCAGATTCCTTGGAACAGAAAATGAGGAACTTACAAGCTTTTACCATAGTTTCCAGTGAGAAGAAAATGAAGTGTGTTTACTTACTGATGTATATAGGTATCCTTCACTGTTCATTGCCAGATACAATTTTGTTTGAACCCCCTGAATCGCCACCACTCGTAAACCCACAGGTATGAGGTTAAACAAAGCTAGGAGAGAAAGGAGACAGAGAGCAAAATTAATCCTTTAGAGGATGCAGAGCAAATAGAGAATTAGACCATAGTTACCAGAACCAGATAAAAAATGCCCATTAAAGTGTATATTAATTTTAGTGGGTGCTGTGGAATATTGCTATTACTGTGTTCTTCTGCAGCAATTTCCACCAATAGCTCCAAAATTACCTACAGAAGTTATCAATGTATCTCCCCCTTTCTGATGGTGAACTGGAGGCACTGAGAGCTAAAAGGACTCACCTGCCTCATAGGTGGAATCCAGGGTCTGCTGAACTAAACACACTTAATTTGGGATTTTGTGGTTTTCTTTTCAAGTCAGTGCAAAAATAATTTAATTCAAACACAAAGTTTTCTCAAGATGATCAAAACTTTTTTTTTTTTTTTTTTTGCAAATTCAGATCAAATTCAGTACACGTTTTTTGACCAAAAGGAGCAAAATGAAATGCAGGAAAGTTAAAAACCTTCATTAACATCTCAAAAAGTTTCCACTCAGAGCTCATCGGGTTTTTTTTTCTCTTTTTGAGACAAGAATGGGTGTGAAAAAGCAGAGTTCAATAACTTCCAAATGAAATGAAATGACAGCATATCCTTTAGCTCAAGCCCTAAATCTACGCTTTCAATTTGAGCTGCTCCGAATGTTCTCCTCGCGTTTCTGCTTGTACACATGCTAATAGTGGCAGTATTTATAAGCAGAGATATGTCTCTTCAAAACTGAAGATTCCGGTTTGTGAAGAGGCAAATTAAATAAGAAATAAGGAAAGAAAAGCAAAGCTCTGCCATAGCTTAGATTCATGGATACATCAAAATTGAACACAAGTAATACGAGTGGAATCCAGCACTCTGTGTTCAACAGTAAAGGCTAAAAATAAAGGGAGTTAAGAAAATGTTCAAGAACTGTTCTCATAACCCAAAGCATCTCCTTCCAGTCTGTTGTAGAAATGCAGAGATGGGATGAGGTAATGCCAAGCTGGCTCTTATTTCCGATGGCTTATTACTTGGCTAGAAAACTCTGGTCTGCTTCAGGCTGAGATGTAGTATTTATGGTCACTCTCTGAGGCCAACTTAAAACTGAATTATGGAATTGGAATATTTGTATTAATTTCAAAACAATAAGCTAAGAATGATGAGCCATTATAAATTCCTTTCCCAGCCTGACAACCCCCAAATGGTCACACTTTTCAATGTAAAGTTGCAGCTCAGCAGCGTTTAATATAGAAACTAAATTCTGGGTGTGGGGTTGTCGAGAGTGTGTTAAAAAAGGTGAGAGCAAATGTATACATGCCCTACATTGATAAAGGCATGGTCAGAAGTTAACACTGGGCATTGGGGATGAAGAACTAAGTGCTGGTGAAAAGAGCCCATGTTCCAGCTCTGGAACCTGAGCATCTCAGCCCGAGGCTGAGTGAAGAAGGGGTGCCATAGATGCCATAGGCTTAGGGCTGGACTGCTGTGATTTACAGGTACTCTGCTCTGAGGCTAGGAGGGCCTTTGAGCATTGAATTTCCTACAATGGTGGCATATAGCAGGGCAGGTGGAAATATCCAGCTAATAAATAATGTGGGAGATCATAAAATCATACCTCTGTTGGGTTTGTTCCCCCTCTCGTACACGAGTGCACATGCAGACACAGACACACATGCGGCCCCTCCTCACACTCCCCTCAAGCAACACAAATGGCTTTCTCTTCACTAGAAACAATTGCATCCTTTAGTTTTGTGCACTCTTTGGCAAACAAAACTTAGATTTTCAGTGAGTGGAATGCTGACGGAAATGGATTTCTCATCCATTCGTTTAAGTGCAAGAATTTATTTGGGGGAGAAGCTATTCCCTGCCTGACTCAGTAAATATTCCCCTGGAGAGTCCTTTTTTTGCAGTGCAACCCCCAAAAGCAGCACTGGATCCCTGTGTAGGCAAGAGAGCCCAATTTAAAGCTCAGTATCCAGGCAGAACCTGGAGGTCTCTTTTAAAAGGTGCTTTCTTAATGGCGTGCGTACGAGTTGGGTATTTTCAGCACAAGGGTAGAAGTACAGGCTCCACTTTAAACAGTGCTACAACCACCTGAGGACAGGGCAAAGCCTAGGACAGCAGAGAAGATGCAGCTCACAAGGCACAGAGATTGGTTTTAGTGAGCGATCCCTATGCTCTGCTTGACAAAGCGAGCAGAGATACGGGGCTGAGCAAGCTCCGCCGGGGAGGGCTGGGGCACCCACTGCAATGGGTGCTCAGCTGCTTCCCTGGGCTGCTGAACAGGTTTTCCTGCCATAAACCTACACGCTCTATTTTGAGGTAAAACCGAGGGTTGGGCGCACTCTGCTTTAGACATCGGTGGGATTAGCAGCTGCCGTGGCACAGATTATGGGAAGTTACAGAAGGGCTGTGGGGGAGTAATGCTGGCTCTGCTGCTGTGAAGGGGAGAGGGACCGGCTGGTGGGGGGGTGCACAGTCTGTCTGTCCTACGCACAGCCAGACACACAGCCAGGCTGCCCTAGCTCCCACCTCCAAGGCGAGGGGACGTTGGCATCCCTTTATCAACAGCTATTGCTCCCACTGCCCAGCAGCAAGTCCAAGTCTGGCTTCTGTAACAGTGAGTGGCTTGTCCATGACCTCTGGCTGCTGATGGGGCCAGCAGCAGAGCCATGCAGCCCCCTCTCTGCAAGCCATGGACAGCAGGTCTGAGATGCTGTCACATTTCTAAGGGTTGACCCTCATATGGGCCCGTATGACAGGAATAGTGGCAAAAAAGAAGCCACCGGAAAATAAATTGCTTGCTACTATGATCAATCTGCGCTAGGATAAACTAATGCGAAGTTATTCACCTCCTAGCCTTTCCCTACGCATTTGTGCTGTTTAAAACAAGGATATAATATCCATCACAATGGAAAACTCGGTGGTGCCTAAGGGAGAGATGATCTTGGCTATGGCCCTTGTGCAATATCACCTGACAAGAGAATTAAAGCTGCAAAATGAGCAGCAGTGGGCCACAGCTGGATTTATGACCGTATACATTACTGTGAGGTCTGTGCCATCCTTGGCTTGGCCACCTGGACCTTCATGTGCTTTCTGCAGGATACTGTGTCCTACATTTCCTTATTTTATCGGTCTTGAAATCAATTTGTCTTGCCAAAATTGGGGGGGGGGGGGTAAATTCTGCTTTGATTTAAAACCTTGCCCTATTTAACACATGTAACGAGACAAAATCTGTTTCTCAGCCAGGAAATCCTTTCCACGAGGCACTTCCTCAAATCATGTGGACTCTTGGCTAGAACCAGGCTCTGCTGACTGCTACGGCTCCTCAGATCCATATTTCACTTCCTGCCTAAACTGTGCTCCAAAATCTCAGCTGGCTTTTAAACTCCCTGCGATTGCAGATGCCACCTTGCTTTTGTGACCCCTATGTGCAGCACTGGGTCTGCTCCCAACTCCGGAGCCTAAGGGCATCTTCAGGCAAACTTCCTAGCCAGTTCCAGGTAGCAAGCAATGGAGAGGACTCCTGGCCCCAGGCTGCTGTCAGAAGCAAGCTGGCTCTTGGGGGCTGCAAGCTGTCCCCATCCCTACTGTGGATAGGGAAGAATGTGAAGTTAAACAAGGCAGAGCAGGGATGGACATTGGCTATGGGTTGCTCTAAGCAATGCAGCTGCAGAGTCCTAGTGCTGTGCAACCACTCTGTTGGCCAGAGCTGCATTTGAGGATGTTCCTCTTACTAAGGGGAGTTTGAACTATTGCACTGCACATGGTCTTAAGAGTCGGTGAAGGTGGCAAAAGGGAACAGCAATGAGACCCTTCAGGAGGTACAAAGAAGAGAACACATTGGAGAGAGAGTCCCCATGCATTTGGAGGGGACTGAAAGTCCTGTGGCTTCCCCACGGTGCTATGGGGTAAAGGAGGGATGTGTCTGCAGGTATCGGAAGACAGGATTTTAGGGGGCCTGATCCACTTAACACTCATGGGAGCAAGCCCTTGAGGGAAGCCCTTATGTGGCCTCTGATCCAAAGCATAAATCAGGGTCTTACTAGCGCCACCAGAAATACTGCAATTAAGACAATTTTAGTACTGTAGGACATTGAGGTCCATACATCTACCTTAAATAAAACAGGAGCATCTACAAAAGCATGTGTTTTCTTATGATAAAACCCTCCTCTGTTTGGAGCACTCAGATACTGCAGCTCAGCTGCAACCATTTCTGGGCTAATTCCATTATATTTAAGTATTCAACATTTTGGAAAGCTGGTATCCAACAACAAGGAGGTTTTACGGTTTCCTCTGTGATCTACCAGGTTATGGTGAATTTAAGGACACAGTGAAAACAAAGATATCTTAGAAACAGACACGTTTGTACTTCTGTATGTTTTATCTTGTTTCACATCTCAAAATCCCTATTAGAGATTTGATTCTGAGCAAAGCATTGGAAGGAAAAAACGATCTCTAGCAGGTATTTCATGCTTTGATGGAAAGAGTAATATTTCTTCTAAGATAATTAACAGAATTACCCTGAAATCCTGACAGATCTGCACTGACTTTTAAAAAATCATAAATATGAGATCACTCACTTGAAAGAAAAGCAACGTTTAAGGTCCATAAGGATCATCCTTGGAGCAAATTCTGTGGCTCCACCAAGGAGAGCTCTGTAAGATGCCAGCAGCCTCTCAGCATCGCACCGACCCGGTCTTTGTGCCACTGGTAAGGACGGGACCTGGAGCCAGTGTCCCAACAGATCCTATGGTTAGGCTCTACCCTAAGGCAAGCACCTTCAGTGGCTGCAGAGGAGACCTCCTCCAGCAGCAGAGCCAGCTCCTTCCTGCCGCTGCTCAGAGGTTAACACAGGGATGTAAAGAGGATTAAAGAGGGTGCGGGAGAAGGGTGGGAGCAAGTGACTGGACAAATAAGATACGATACTTCCTACTGCATCTTGCGCTCACTCTGCCATATTCTACTGTCCTGCAAAATGAAACGATGGCTCACCTGCAAATGCTTCTCATACGAAAAGGGTGGCACTTAAATCTGTGCTTTTTAACTAAAAAGCCAGGTCTGCCTGTTGACTTTTGTTTTGCTGTCTAGTGGCCTGAAGTACTTCCCAAAGCTCTGTGTGCCTCCTAACTCTCTTTTCCAGAGCAGTAACATAGTGTAAGCTCTGCGAAACACTTGAGTGTTTTATTCACACACACCCAATCTGTGCTCAAGGCATCTCTTCCTGTTTTCTATTCATTCTCAAAGTCGAGAACCCTGAAAGACCCAAAGCTGGGGTCTTTCAAGATGGAAGACCCAAGGCAGAAAAGCGGGAAGAAATCTGCTTAAAAGCCGAAGGTATAATTAAGTTTAGGCAGGGTAAAAAATAATAGTAATAATAGCAAAACGTGAACTTTAAAGCGATGAACTCTCATTGTGTGAAATAACGCGGCTCTGGTTGAATGAGCCCCTCTTTAAGAGTGGAGATAGTGTTATTCTATTTCAGGCGCTCTGAGTAGGCGAGCAAATTTTCCCTGTTGGAAAAAAAACCCTCCTAATAAAATCCAAAGGACAGCAAAGAACTTCTCTAGATTACCATGGAGATAACATTTGCTTTGTTTGTCATATGTGTCATCATTACCTCCTCTAGTTCATTATTCTATGAGGGATTTTTATTGTGTTTCTCTCAGACCCAGTAAGTCTGGATGATTTCTGCACTTTGAGCACAGTGTTAATGCCGCTTCCACTCACTCAGTCATCCCAGGACAACAGTTTCCAATGGACCTAGATGGGAAGAATGAGACACCACGATTCACGAACACACCATTTATTCTCATGTCACTTACTATAACTACTGTCCTCCTCTTTTGTTCCATCAATTGTTCCATCTGCTTGCAACTGCAAGTGGTATCCTTGCCTGCTGTATAGCTTTGTTACTATACCTTTAAGCTGAGGCTCTGTAAAGAAACAATAGTGAGATTAATGTGGGAAATCCTGAGGTGTTGTTCCAAGCGAGCAGGATGCTAAAACACCAAACCTCCAGGTTTCTTCTCAAGGCTGAGATAACAAAAAAAGACCCAAACCAAAAGCAGGGCAACCAGCTTTGCAACACTTTTCATTTGGGAGACCACATTTATGCCTATGAAATCGATTGCCAAAATGATTAAATGCCACTTTCGATTGCAGTGTAGGTAGCACAGTAAAATCTACTCGCAGTGAATACAAATTCCAACAGTGTGCTGCTTGGTCTCAGGAGCTCAGCCCTATCTCGTTTAAGATTAGGAATGAGCTGGCAAAGAGCGTATTCCGCCTTTTAAAAAGGTGTGAGCTCTTAAATGGAGAGGAGAAAGAGGACTACTACGATAGCGCTAATAAGAGCCATAGTGACAGCTGAGGGCCTAAATATATAGCAGCAAACACTCAGCACAGGAGCTGCGGCAGTTCTAATAAACAAACCCCCCTTCCTCGCTGCTCTGAAGAGTACAGAGCATCCGAAGTGATAAACTGCTCAATGAACATATGGAAAACGGAGGGGGGAAACCCTGAAAACCAGCAATGTGTGGAGCTGCAGAATAAATATTACCATAAGGGCTGAGGTAATTACCTCATCAGCTAGGAGAAGAAAGATCAAAACAACGCATAGCTTGGATAGGTTTCTTTTTATCATCACCATCCTCAGATTCACAGCTCGAAAGCGAGATATCTCACACGGTTTCAGATCGCTCTAGACCACAAAGTACACAGCAACAGGACCTGCTGTCAGGTCTGTCATTTCCGATATCTAGGAAATGCACCAGGAGTAATTGCAAAAAAGCTCTACTTCCACTGAATCCCAATGACATCTGCATTGTAGTCACTGCACACAGTCCTGCCTGTCAGGAGGTGATGCACCTCCGCAGCCCGCTCCACAGCATCTTACTTACTTCAGAGATAAGCAGACTGTGAAGATACGAGGTGTCATTTCCAACAGCCAATGTCTGGATAAGAGTCCTTGTGTTTGCAACCAAAGACGTTAGGGAGCTCTGCTACTGTGCTTCATTTTAGTAGGAACTGAAGGCAAAAGCTTACAATAGTTTGTAGAAGTGTATCAGTTCCTAGTAACAGCCTTTAATAAGGGTACTACTGATGGATGCACAGTTCTTATCTATTGACTTTTTGACAACAAATTAATCCAGCCCTTACTTTGGCTTTTTAGCTGCAATACATCCCCAAACTGTTTGCAAACACCGAGACACCTCTTCTGTGCCTGCTGAGAAAGGCAGGTTAAGTGGCCGACAGCATCAATGTTTCAGCACAGCAAAGCGATAGCAGCATTACCAGAGGGTTTTGCTCCTCCCATGTACAAAAACCCCACTCAGATCAGGGACTGAGTCTTCATGCCTGATCTTTCGCCCCTCTGACACAGAGAGCATCACGTCTGCAGGGCTGCTGCAAGTATGGGATTCCTAGAAAGGAACAGGGCACTGAAGCAAAACTCTGGAAGGTGCCAGCGAAAGCAAAAAGCTTTGCCTGCAATCAGCAAATGAAGCACAGCTCAGGCATTCGGCGAAGCAGGAAGATAAAACCAGATCTCTAGAGTGCCAAGTTATTTAACATACAACTGAAGGAGGTGCATGTGTGGGAACTTCCCCTGCTAACGTCTCCCCCACAAATAAATCGCTTGTGTTTGTATATGTGTATGTGTAACAGGGAGCCAGGCTACTGAATTACCAATACATGGGTGCACACGGGTGTGCAAGTGTGGCAGATAGCAGTGGTGTGGGTTATCCAGATAAACCGGATGAACATGAAAGGGGAAGGGACCGGCATGGGGTACCCATGTCCCTCAGATCATACAAGCCAGGAGTGGCAATACCTCCACCTTCAGTATACCAACCCTGAGACACCGGTGCCCTTTTCCCCACACCTGATGCACATCCATCCCAGTTTGCATTCGATTAAACAAACTAACCCCCCAAAGACATAACCCTTGCCAACCTGGTCGCCTTCTTCGCCTTTTCTTGGAGCCAAAGAGTTTGACCCTGGAAAACACATTCAACTTGTTCTTGTCGCAGCTTCCCTTGCTCTTGCTGGGGCTGTTGACACACTTACAGGCATTGGACTTCTCCCGCTCCCTGGCTTGTCTCTTCTGGCGGATCAGGGAGCTGGCGATGGCTGCAGCCATGGCCGCCACCGCCCCGGCACCACCGGCGGGTCAGGCGCACGGGGTGTGCTGGCCGGCCACGGGTGCCGCAGCCAGCATGCTGCTCGGCCTGTCCCCAGTGCCAGGGACACTGCCGGGCGCCTCGGCCAACGCCACCCACCACCAAGTGGCTTGGGAGCCCAGGAGACACCGGCGGAATGCTCACACCGCAGCCCCGGCTCGGGATGCAACAGTTTAGCTCAGGCGTTTTTGTCCGCTGAGATCTTCCACCTTTATGGGTTTTTCTGATGCTTTCTCATTCCTCCCAACTCGGAGCAGGGGAAAGTTTGCAGGTGGAGGGGAGCGTTTCTACGGAGATGGAGCGGATCACTTGCAAGACATCCCTTCGAGCTCCTCCAGACGCACTATTCACATGCAGACAGGGCACATCCACTTGGTGCAAGATCATCGCATCTCTCCCAGCCCCGGTTTCTCCAGTTAACTTTTCTCCCCACCCATCCCCTCCCCATTCAAATCCCAGCAGACACCTGTTAGACTCCAGCAGGGGCTGTCCAGTTGCAGGGGCGGGGGTGTTCTGGATCCTTTTTCCCCCTCTTCTCCCTTAGGACGACATCCGAAGCAAGTGGTGGTGGAGGCGCTGGGAGGAGGTGCCGGTGCCTGGAGCCTCGGCTGCCTGCTGCTGAATGCCGCGGGAAGCCTCTTCCCCTCCGCTCCTCACGGGTGCCGCTGCCAGCGCAGCCTCCCCTCCACGGACGAGCTCTGGTTTTGCATGGCCACCCCTGTCACCAGCCTGGTCGCGCAGCCGGGGCTCCCCGCACGCCCGCTCGCCGGCAGCTCCGCGTCGCGATTGCCGCAGCCGGAGCCCCCGGCAGCGATGCGCGGACCCGCAGCACCCCGCGCACACACACCCGCGGGTGTGCGCTGGGTGCAGAGATGAGGCGACGCAGCAAGCCCCTTATCACCACCCTCCCCTCCTCCTCCTCCTCCTCTTCCTCCTCCTCCTTCTTCCCCAGCGAGCGCTGGTTCTCGTTGCGGAGGGGTCCCCGGGGTGCAGGCAGGGGCTCAGCGGGACCTGGCGCACCCCGGCTGCCCACCCTCGCCGGCCTCACGGGCGGGGGGAGGACGGACCCGTTTGTGACCGAGCCGCCTCCTGGGATGGTGCAGACACCCAAACAGACGTGACTGCGGTGAGCAAAGAGCTGGCACCGCGTTTGGGGCAGCGGAGCGATGACACCTGCCTGGAGCGGAAAGGCGGCTCGGGGGGTAGGCAGGGGGGCTCCAGCCATAGCTCTCCCCTGCCTTTCTTCACCCTTATAGGATGGCCCCCTCCCTGCCTCCGTGCTTTATCGGAGGCTTTTTGCCTCTCCCACCTCCCCAAACCTGCTCTCAGCTCCAGAGACTGAAAAATCCCCCCGAAAGACCAATTTTCTCCTCATTGCCATGTTCTCCCTCTTTCTTGTGCCTCCCCCGAGGCCAGGCTCTCAGTGGGGGGCCAGGCTGCGGGGGTACCAGAGCAGGGAGAAGCAGCGGTGCCGCGATGCTGGGAGCAGAGCCTGGTGTCAGAGCCTGGCTCTGCGCTGTGGTTAATGCCCTGCTGTAGTTACTGCCCTGCACAGCAGACACTGAACCCTGCACACAGCCACGCTCCAGGACATAGGAAGAAGGATGCCCTGGGGGTCTCTTTACAACCCACTCCCCCTCCTCTTCTTTTAACAGCTAGAGCCTAAAATAAAGCCCATTCAGGCTAGAAAACGCAACAGAGATTTGAAGCCCTGAAGACAACTATTGAAAGCATTTATCCCTGAGGCAAAAGGGATTCCAGAGGCTTGGAGGCACTGGGGCAGGGTGGGATGTCCTGTGAGCGGACAGGGAAGACCTGGGGCTGATTCCTTGGAGCTGAGCTCATCTGGGGCTACAACTCCGCAGGGCTCCACGGGGGCTCTTGAGACAGAACCCATGCAGGTGGGTTGGTGGGACAGCACCAGCTTCCTGATGCAGTTTCAGGCTCAGCCAGGCTTCCTAAGACACCTGCCTCTTCTTCCTCACCTCCACATGCCCTTGGCAAAGCCAAGGTGCTCTCCCCTCCCTCCCTGGGATCCCAGACAAGCCCATTGGAAACCATGCCACCCAACAGCTTCACTTCAAAGAGCTCAACTCAAAAGCTGTGTCTCTGCATTCCAGTCCTTCCCTGGACTAGAAACAGCTCAGCAGGGGTCCAAATCTGTTTCCTTCCAACTGGGAGCTCCTGCACCAACCAAACAGGTTGCACGGCCAGGCTTTCACAACAGAAATGCCCATAATGCACAGGTTTTAAGACCATGTCTGATTGAAAGTACTATGTGTTCTATCACAGTTTGAGACCTCGGCAGCTGACATGCTATGTTGAACTTGGCAGCCCCTCACGCCTATCCACAATGCCTCTTTTCTGCAAGAAATAGATGTATCCATGTACTCCTACACGTATAGGTGTTTACACACACTCACCTTTGTTTGTGAGGCACTCCATGGCATCCGCATCTACATATTAAATAAATCCTGCTCATTTCTTATTTAGGTTAAACTGTAGGGTAAAAATAACTGCAATTCACAAGTTCCACCACTACCTTCATCTGCCAGTCCACATAAGACATGTGAAATCCAACCCAAGAGACAGACAGTTGGCTATTATTAGTAATAACTCATCCTACTCAACTCATCAGTAACGTACTATGAATTTTGCCATCTTTCCACTTCCAATGCAGTCATGAGCGAGACTTGTTTTCCCTAAGACTCTCTCATTACTTTATAAATATTCCCTGTTTGGAAAAGCAGCGTTTGATCTTCAGATCAAAGTGATGCTGCCTCATTGAGCTCTGTCCCATAGGTCAGACGACATTTCACGGTCCCAATGACTAACCAGAACTCAGACTTCGGTTAGGCTTGACAATCCTAGGGGCAAGCAGGATATAAAAGCAGAATTTGGGATATCTTTCTGCCAGGATTCCAGCCCGCACGCTTAAAATCCATAATGGAAATTAATTTGCACAAATGTTCCTTGACAGATAACTACAGAGAGGAATAAAAATAGCCCATATGCATAATCAGATTTAGGTTTCAAAAACAGCCCTCCGAGGTTTTTTTGCCTGATCAGCCTCTCCATCTCTCAGTACTCCTACAAACATGTCTTCATTTACTATAAATGGATCATGAAAATGAGGATCTTGTTGGGAAAACGTCTTTGGTACAGGACCAGTCTTTGGATTACTTCAGTGTTACAGATATAAAAATCCCAAGGAACAGCTTTATTTTCTTTGAACAGCAAGAGCTGTTCACTCCCCACCATGCTAAAAAGGTACAATAGAATAACATAACATTCCAAGTGACTTTTTGAATGTAGAGGCAATTGGATACTCCTTGAACATCCATCCTCTTTCTTTGTGTCTAGCATTGCAATGGGGCACCCTTAAAGCTAAGGAGTAAATTGCCAGTCCCATTTCAATCATGAATTAAACACCTCTTAAGAAATCACCATGGAACTGACTTGCATAGTTACTGTCGGAGACGGCATCATAATGGACATGGAGCTGGGATCTGACCCAGCAGCAATTCCCCTGTTTTGACATAGACATGGATCTCACCTGATTTTGATTTATGGTTTTTCCTCCCAGTCATCTGCTGAGTTTATGCTGATGATTTTTAACATGATTCTGATCATTAAAAAAACTTGAACCTCCGGAAGTTGCCTGGATTGGGGAAAAGTAAAGCCTGCAATTTGGTACCGCAGCCCCTGAACCAGGACTGGCTTTCTGACTAACGCAGGACACGGTTATTTCAACCGACACCAAGTGTGCTGCCTTCACTGCCTGCCTCCTGCAGGAAAAGGCATCAACCTCACATCACTGATCCAAACTGAAGCACCAGTGGCTGTTTCACCAAATAAGAGGGAAGTGCAAACCCTCTGGATTTAGCTCCATCCTCCTTGAACCATTTGTGCTCTGGGAGGTCTCAGACCACTGCTGTTCCCCATGAGTTTGAATCCATCCTGAGAAGAATTATAGTAGGTCCTATGTAAACAGGTGGATGCTGAGCAAAACCAACCCTCGCAAATACTGAGACTGGATGAAAACCACAAGGCAGCTCCAGACCTCCCTGTCATGAAACAAGCATCAGGTTTTGACAAGCCACAACAGCTTTGCAGCATGCCTGGTGCCAGCTGCAGCCTGTGAGCAGAGGAACTCCTTCTTCCCCGCTGCCAGTCGCCTGTGCGGTGTTGGCACATGAATGGTGACAGATGTGATGGAGCACAGAATGGTGTGTCAGTGCAGCATCACCGTCAGAGAAGGGAACAGGTGGAGGAGAGGCAGCACTTTCTGGCTGCTTCTTCAAGTACACTGGTGATGGGCACATGAGCGATAGAGACTCACTGAGGGACACAAGTGCTCTGCATCATATAATCCCAGCCTGGTTTGGGTTGGAAGGGACCTTAAAGCTCCTCCAGCTCCAACCCCTGCCACGGGCAGGGACCCCTTCCACTAGAGGAGCTTGCTCCAAGCCCCTGTGTCCAACCTGGCCTTGAACACTGCCAGGGATGGGGCAGCCACAGCTTCTCTGGGCACCCTGTGCCAGGGCTTCCTCACAAGGAAGAACTTCTTCATGTCTAATCTTATAGGTCCTACATAAACAGGTAGATGCTGGGCAAAACAAACACTGCATGAAATTCAAGACCAGAAGGAAAATCACAAGCCAGCTCCAGACCTCGCTCACCCCAACACAAACCCCAAACCACCCCTCTACAACTACAAGCCTGAAGCTGCTTTAGTGTGTCAGAAAACACGAGGCTGGCATAGGATGTCAGGATTCCATCCCCAGGCACTTCTGCTCTTGCTGGAGTAATATGTTACTGTAGCTACAGAACAAGCAGAAAGAGAAAAGGTTCAGGACTCACATCTGTAAGTTTACATTGCCCCAAAATAGGGAATTCTTTTCTCAAAAGTGCCACCGGAATCACTTCTCTCTCTTCCACGTTGAGACAAACAAGACTACATTGAGCCGGGTATGACACAGCAGCACCGAGGCCCCCAGTGATTTTTCCCTCTTCTAAGTAAACAGAATTACCATTCACCAGGAAGCAGAGCTGCTCAGACCCGAGCCCCGCATCATTTAGCTCCTCTGTGAAGCATCCCGTGGAAATGACTCAGCCTTTCCTCTGCAGCCAGCTCCGTGCTGGACCCGGGCGCTGCAGAGCCCGGCTCACTACCCCTCAAAGCCTAGTTCTACCCCACATAGGAGCCAGATGAAGTCAGCTTGAGGATTACTGCTCAGTTCAAGGCGCAGAAAGATGTTAATGGACGAGCTGCGCCTTCAGGCGGCTCCAGACCAACAGCTCCAAATTGAGGGTATTTTAATCAACAAAGCAACTGGGCTACCATGAAATTAATCTCAGTGGTAAAGATCAGCTTCAAGAACCAGCTGCAGACTTTGTACAAGCTGTAGTGCTGTAAACAGAATTATTTTACGTTGAGAGAA